TGTATATATATCTGTACAGGTTAATTGTGGTAGGTCATGTCTAGCCTCGTCACTACTTCGCCGAGGTTAGGCCAGACACTCACCAGCACATGGGGTCGGTTGTGCATTTTTGTGCACAGATCAGGGAGCAGCTTACGGACCACAACAGTAGGACTTTTGGGAGCTATCTTCAGTCCAGGGACTCTCGAGGTAGCCTAGCTGGCATTCGCAGGCCGAAGTCCCTTTCCATGTTTTTCGTTTGTTCATCCTGTATCAGACAAACATGATGTATTTCCTTTCAGACATTGTTTGTAGTATTCTGTAGTAGTCCGTGAGCTAGTGACACCAGTCCTTGGGTAGTGATGTGTACTAAACTTCCGCACTTTTGGTTTTCAGTTGCTTTAGATTTAAAGTCTTCCGCTTAAATTTTGTCTCGTTTATTATATTGTTTGAAAGAAAGCAAGAAAGGTGTTTTAAATATTTGGCTTGCCTAGCTCCGATAGTAGGCGCCATCACGACACCCGATGGTGGGAAATCCGGGTCGTGACACATACCTTTCGTATAAGCATTAGGATAAGCAGCATTCATGCATGCAGTCCTTTCAAGTAGTTGTGAGCTTAAGATGATTTGTGAAGAGAATTACTTCTTATATCCATTCTCTTATTGAAAGTTTCAATATTTCACTCAAATCTGAGAAGGTTATTTAACTTTGATGCCTCAATAACTTGTGCATGTGGAGATACTCAACTGTTTCTAAGACTCAAAATTTTGGGAGGTACATATATATATTTCTATTGATGATAATCCTTACTTTTGCATAGGTCATATTTTTTAAAAAGAAAATAACGCATTTGCAGTAATCATCGATGTGTGTCTTAATAGTATCTATTTGACATTTTCTTGCAACAAGCATGATCTTTTACATCTTTAGTTTGACGACTTAGTTGAAAGCAGACTTGAAAAGAAAGTATTATTTTTACATAAATTGTCATCATTGGCTTATATGTGCTTTAATATTATCATTGGATCTTATCTTGAATGAAATTTTGTCTGAGCTATGGGAAGGAAGAAAAATCAATTTTTGGTTATCTTATTTTCTTTGATTGCAACTGTCTTGGTAAGCCTCTTGACATATTTCTTATTCATTAGTTGTAGAGAAATCTCATCATGCGCGTTTTCCTTATACTAATATTTTTCTAAGCAATTTGTGAATAATGATGGAGAACTTACAGTGGATAGCTTGAAATAAATTGCTAGTGACACATCTATACTAGTTGAACTAGATAGTCATGAAGAAGCATTGAATGTTGGATTCTAGTAATACAAGATTTGTTGAGCAAAACTGAAAGAATCAATAATATGGAAATTCAGTACCAAGTAAATGAGTTGCAATCATGGATATCTAAAGCCGGATAAGATTGGTAAGGTTGTGAAAATTATGTGTAAACTTGTAGCTCAAGGTTTCACAACAAGAAGCTTCTGGAAGATGATCGGGTTGGAAATGAGTATAATGGAGAATTTACCTTTATATTCACATTCCATAATGCGAAGCAAGGAGAAAATTAGTAAGTCCAACGATCGAATAAAGTACCAAGGTATGACCGGCTCTCTATTGCATTTTTATGACAAATATTTAGGTATACATGATCCCATAATATCTCTTCATAGTGCCACAAAAGATCTTTGGTTGATTCTAAATTATGGATTATTATATGCAAGAACTAATTGCTTTGATCTAGTAGGATCTTTTCAGATGCAAATCTTGCAGGAAACAAAGTGGACTGAAATAGAAAAAATGGCATGGAGATTTTTTAATTCTCATGGAAAAGACAAACTAGAGCACAAGGCAAAAAATGTGTCATTAGATTGCTTGTGACAGAAAATATTTTGAAAATCTACCTGGAGGACATTGACCATCATCTTGTAGATATTTCCTCTCATTTGCGAAAGAAGTTGGTATGGTAATGATAGCCTCGTGTATTCCTTTTTGGTAAAAATGATTCATTATCATCTTACGTCGTTTGTGTAATTTCAAGTCTATGTTAGCATGTCTGCGGTTCAATTCTATTAGAATTATTTTTAATAGATTCAAAATTGTATCGTCCCGCTCTTCGTTATTAGAAGTCTAATAATTCTCCTCAAATATTTGAAATTATTTTTGGATGACCTAAAATAACCTACAATTTCTCGTGCTTCATATGGTAAGCAATGATTTGTTTACTCAAAAGTTTTTTTAACTGAATCAAACATTTGGTGTTGATTGCTTAGTGTTTATTTGTCGTTATTTTTTCTTTAAACTGGATGAGTTAATAGATTATACATTTATCTAATTGAGAGATTTCTGGAGTATAGATTTTTATGCTTTATTATTGGTTCTAGTAATTTATATCCTATTCCACCCTATTGATGATGACAAAAGGGGAGAAAATAATGTGTACAAAAGTTCGAAAACTCAGGTAGAATGTATGGAAACAGGGGGAGTATAACTGAGGAATGCATAGAGTGAGGGGGAGTTCACACTTGATGTACTACATGTATTTCGAGAAGATAACCTCAGGGAAGTAACCAGTTTATCTACTGCCTTTAATTAAGTCTTTGATTAAATTCTTTTATTTTGTACTCAATGGTTTGCATCATCAAAAAGGGGGAGATTGTTAGCTTCAAGGTTTCAAGAATTAATTTTGATGATAACAAACCAACATAATTATTAATCAAAGAACATTCACTTGTGGTAATCTTATTTTTTATACATGTACTTGGTGGAGATCATGGTAATCTTAATTTACTATGAAGTTGAAGAAGAAAGCAGTTACTACGGATGCTATTGAAGATAAATTGGGATGAATTACTTATTATATGGAAAGAAGAATCTTCTAGCTATCAAGGGTAAGGATTTAGAAAATCTAGAAAGGAAAATATTCCATAATTACCTTCAAGATTAAATATTTGAATTGAAATTCAAATGTAAAATGGCTTACTGCACTTCTAGTAGAAAATTCTACTGAAGGAAAGAGTTTTTCAATATCATGGAAGGAAGCTTGCTAGAATCATGGAGAAGTTCTATTATTCTGTGGAAGAAAAATACTACATGGAAAAGATACTACAAGACCAAGGAAGAATATATTTTCTATGGAAAGAAAATATATTATGTATGTAGTACAATTTATACTATGGAAAGAGATTATTTTCCAAGATCAAGAAAGGAATATTTTCAATATAATAGGAGAAGAATATATTTTTATTATGGAAGATTATTTTCCAAGATCAAGAAAGGTATATTTCCAATAGGAGTTCAAATATGCTACTATTATTTATGGGAAAATATTCTTACTACATTTCCCCTTGGTATGGAAAGAAAATACTATATGGAAATAAGTTTGAGTTCCATATAAAGAATGACTATTGCTCTTATGGAAATTCATCAAGACTATGGAAGGTTGAAGAAGATGCACGTGGAGATGGAGTTATGAAATGCAAAGTTTTGTAAAGAAGATCAACCAAGATATTGCTTGCAAATAAAGAGAAAATATTCTACTACCATAAAAGGAAAAGAATCCTCTACACAAGGATTCTCATGCTGGTACTTAATGAAGAATTTACATATTCAAGAAAGGAAAGTGGAGACAATTAGGATCTGTCCAAGTACATGAAGTCAAACAAGGAAAGAAAATCAATATTGCAAAGATGCCCATATCCATCTTCAAAGTAGTGCCAAGTCAACATACTATCTTTAATCATACAAGTACTGGAGCTACAAATTATGGAAACAAATAAATGAGCAACGGTCAAATCCTCTTGGGTTATGCAATAGCCATAACAAGTTGAGAGGGCTATAAATATATAAGCTCGATAAAGGAAGAAAGTACGCAGCCTTCTATATAATTTCCTATCCAACTCTACAAGTTCTTTATTCTACTCTTAACAAGCATCGTATTTCACTTTAGTAGATTTACTGTATACCCAAAAGAGAGAAGAGAGACAGAAAAGTATTAGAGAGGCAGTGTGTTCTAGAGGTTGTGTCATTGTTCGTTTCTTTGGTGAGCGAGTGAAAACCAAAGGGTCGTTGTTGGTGAGCGAGTGAAAACCAATCCTGTCAGCGTTGGTGGTGATCGCTGAAAATTACAAAGGCTGTACCTAATTCAGTTTACAAAGAGCTCCAAAAGATAACACTCTTGCAACCCAAGAGGACTGGATTAGGATACCACATTGATTCTGAACCAGTATAAAATTTCTAGTGTCATTTACTTTATCACTCTCGTATTATATTATGTTCCTTTACTATTTATTGTGATTAATACTTGTTTAAATCGAAAAAACTAACAGTTCTGTGCAGGCTCTCTCCGCATAAGTCGACTAGTTCTGAAGAGTAGTCGACTAGAAATTTAGAAAGGCTATAATTCACCCCTCCCCTTGTACTTTCACGACCAACCTGCCATACCGCCATTATGTGGTGTTTCTCCACTCAAACTCCATAAAACAATAGAGAAACAGACGTACCCTCACGTACAAAAACATGAGGTGTAGTAATAAAAAAAAGTCACGGGAAGCATCAAATAGGGGAACGAGGTTCTAATACTCAAAACGGTTGTCCGGGTCATCACACTTCCATATTTGATAGATCCTTTTCGTGGAAGAAAAGGTTTTAGACCTCTTTAAATTGGAGATCCCTTCTTCACAAAAAAATAATAATAATAACATCTGCAATGTAGTTCTTAATAGAGTCTTGTTTAAGGAGGAGGAGGGGGGCGGGGGATTTTCTCTCAATAGTTTTTATACTTTCTTTTATATTAATTTTCTCATATGTATTTCAATTAATCAAACCTCGATATAATATTCTCTTATAATATTTTTTTATCTGATTTATCGCCTTTAATATTTGTTTTGTTAGGTTTCGCATGACACCTCGTCAGTTCAACCCCAACATGTTTGTATGAATAGTGAAACAAATTAATGGAGAATCTTGCTCTATTTGTACTTCAATCTCTTTATCAAGGGAAATACAAACCGTACAAAGGAAAATAAAAGATTGGCCAACAAAAATAAATAACAGCTCGATCATTTGTTTACCCCTTTGTGTTTTTTTTTTCTTTTTCTGCTTTCATTTACCTGTAAGAAGGATCAAGAAATCGAGATTCTATAACGTTACAGTAACAACAATTTAACAATTTATCAAAAAACTAAATGAATCATGCTAGTGGAAGTCTTTTGATACACATTTGTCTTCAGAACGACAAAAGATGTTGCATATGCAGAGACTTCCTTCTATTCTCCGACAGACATGGAACCGAGCCACTGAGGCCAGCCATTGAAAAGCCACAAGAATAGGAACAATCTTTGGTAATGTGAAGTTTGTCAAACTTGTGATGCTGATGCTACTTGCCTGCTCTTCCAAACGATGGGAGCCACGAGCATTGATACTGCAAAATTTAAAGAATGGTAAAACTTCACATTATGTTTAATTATCCAAAATCTTTATCCCTTTATATCAACCAGAGTCAAGATGGAAGGTGGCCAAGTGGCTGAGCTACTTACTGTAAACACAAACTGCAACCCATTCATTCACTATCCTTACCCAAGTGCTGGTCCAACCAACATCTATTGTAAACCTGCAGATAAACAATAAAAATACCATGTGATAAGAAGCATTTAGTTACAACTTATAAGTTGAACTCAATAGATTGCACGGCTCCTATCCCATCAAGGATCCTCCCCTCATTTACCTTCCCATCCTTTCAGTATTCATTTGTTTTTTGTATTACCAATTTTCGACCCGCCCATATCCGACCCGACCCCCGTTTGCCACCCCTAGTTCCATATAACATGCACTAACTACAAAATATGTTGTTGCTAGTAGTTTCAACCTGAAATCTTTTATCACTTCCAACTGAACCCAAAAATTAGATTGCCAAAATGAAAATGAACCTATTGCCTCAAGATGAAGGAACTTGCCTCTTCATGGCGTGATTAGGATTCCATCCAATTAATAGCATTGCAAAGTACATTGCTCCTGTCGCAAAGACGAAATGAAAGAATCCGTAACCATATGGAACATCATCTTCTTGAGGCGCATCATCCTTTTTGAACTGTAACTTATTTGTATTAGAAATTTCCCCTTCATTTTGTTTTCTTGTATTGTGATTATAAAAGTATGAAAATGAGGCAAACCTGAAAGCATTTCGAATCAATTCCAGTTGAAAATGTTGCAATGACAATTGCAAGGACCGCTATAACGAAGCTCTGTCAAAATTAAGAGCGACAACTTAGAGTTGTGGAAATTAAAATAGGGAGGACCATGATAATCTACCTCAATGACATGCTGAAAAAGTGACCGTTCTACTACACCACTATGTATTTTGAGGTCCGAAAATTACAATGATGGTGAACCAGTCTCCTTTTCCAGTTGCCAATTCTGCTTTCCGGATGCATTTCTCCTCTGGGGGTTCACTGTAAATAGATTAAACTTATAAGAACTTTATTCAGGAAAATGGCATAATTTCATGAATACCATTACCATATATGAAACTCAAATGAAAGCTTGAACCGAACAGAGGGACTTTCTCAAATAAATGAAAATATTAACTTGAAAACTTCCCGTGACCAGTTTAACTTATTCTACTTCCTCTCTCATATTTAAATGACTCAGAGACATGCTTGAGAATACATTAAGACATGCATATGCCTTCAGGTCTTTTTCGCACAGCTTCTATGCTGAACAAATAACATTACTTAGAACAAGAGGGGGACCTAGAATTTAAATGTAACGATGCGAGGCACTATTATATTTAAGGTAAATATGAAAATAATATTAGTTGCAATAAAGTTTGGCGTGCAACACTACTAGAAAGTCGGCCAAAACCGACCGACTTCGGTCGGTCAAAAAAGCCGACCTATTTCAAAATATTTATTTTTCAATTTTTTTACGAAACCGACCGAATTTGATCGATTTTTTGGGCACAAAAATGCGGAAAACTATTTTAGCATCCTGCGAAATTTATTTTTTTAAGAAACTGATCGAAATTAGTCGGGTTTTCATATAAATTAAATTAAAATTAATATTCAAAAAATCGACCGAAAACGGTTGGTTATTTCAATCAGTCATTTTAAAAAATCGACCAACTGTGGTCGGTAATTCTGTATTTCTAATAAAATCGAGCGAAATCGGTCGGTATTTCTAGACAGATTTAGGCAGTTTCCTAGTAGTGCAACTCTTTGAAAACTTAATGATTACGAGTTCGTGGCCGAAAGAATGTTCAAAAATATAAAAAACTTAAACAAAATCAAGACTAATAAAGGTCCGTAAGTAGTCCAAAAGGTCTCAATCGACGTCACAGAGTCAATGGATACTTGTTACTTTGCCGAAGTAAACGTTGAAGGGAGAAGGGTTTTAGTTGAATTATGGAATAATATTAAAAATTGGTTAGAGATAAAGATTACTGACTAATGGAACTAGTTAATGAAATATTTTATCCCCCTTTCCTACTGTCTTTAATCATTATTTTATGTCTCTTTATTAGCTTTTTAAAGTCTAGAAAGATGTATCTCCAATAGAGTTTTTGCTATTTTGTGTAGAAGACCGCGAAGAGAAGTTGAGTTTTGGAGCGTTAGATAGAGAGCTTTAAAAAAAAAAGTAAACTGAGTGACTTCTATGTAGTAGTACTAAAATGGAATTTTTACCTCATATGGCAAAGGTTAACACCTTATTTATTTAAAATAAATACCATTTTTAAAAAATATATTCTATAGATACCTTTTACTGTTTATAGCAAAATATCTAATTTTGGTTATCTCCTACCCCTAAGCCACTAAATACGCTATTCAACTACACTATTTTCTTTCTCTGTCTACTTTAATACATGTCATTCTCTTTCCCCACAGAAAAATCAAGTTGATCACCGGAATACGAACAATGACGAAGTCCTTTGGAGTACCAGGAATCGATCAAAGGTTAATCTACAAGGGGAAGCATTAACTTTCCCAAAATAAATATCTCCCATTTTCAGATATGAGGCAATCACTCTCTTTTTGCTTATGATACAGTAGAACTATCAATGACCTATCACATTCAGTTCAAACGCCAGTTTGATGATTATGCCGTTGTCGCCGACGACGACGTTGTACCTCCCGCCGTCAGGATGCGGAAAGACAAAACTCTCCCTTCCTCCTCTCCTCCATCAACTCACATACAGTTCTTCATCCGTTTATTTTCCGGCGTCAACAAAACCCTAGTCCTTCATGCCCATTCCACCGACACAGTTTTATCAATTCACAGAAAAATCTCCCCTTCGGCATTTTCATGTATTTCAATGTTTATTCAACGTATCACGTTGTATTTTTATGTATTTTATTGTATTCATTGTCTTTTTTTCATTGTAATTCAATGTATCTCGTTGTATTCCATATATTTCATTGTATTCACTGTCTTTTTTTCATTGTATTTCAATGTATCCCGCTGTATTCTATATATTTTATTGTATTCATTGTCTCTCTATATGCCATGAATGTATTCATATGTTTTTTTAATTAATATAATTTATGTATTTTGATATATTATATAATTTCTCTGAAGATTGCTATATTTTTGGGGTACTTTTCGGTTGAGAATCTTTTTTATAATTGGAAATACAAAATTTGTGTGTTATAATTGAGTTTGTTGAGTTATATTAGGAGTCTATTATGTTAATTGATTCACTTTCCATTTAAAAAAAGTGTAATCCCCTGTTTCACGCCGTGAATACAGTCGAATACACTCGAATAGAATAATCTGTCCAGCTGTAATTCCATGTTTCACGCCATGAATACAGTCGAATACACTCGAATAGAACAACTGATTAGCTGGACTTCCCTGATTCACGCCTATTTTTGCTATTGTATTCATGAATACAGTAGCTTAAATACATCTAATACTTCTTATAACAACATAAAACGTATCTACAATCCGTAATATAGCAAATGGTATCTATAGATAGCTAATTACCACTAAAAGATAGTGCTTTATGAAAATTTCTCTACTAAAATTAACATTTGAATTAAAAGAAATAAATCAAGTTGACTACTAAATATGGAGTACTAAACTGTTGTTCAATCAAAAGAGAAAAAAAGAAAGAAAAAGTGAAGTAATGCTGGTGTTGGGTCTGGCAGTGAGGGAAAAGACCTTAAACAGCCCATTGAACTAGTGCAACCATGGGTCGTTTTGTTCATTTGGGGGCACAATAAAATTATTATAGGGGTCCTAAATGTATATAATGTAATATATACCTAGTTTTTCCCGAGCCTATAGGATGCCAGTGACCCTTCATCTCTCCACGTGGGTCCGCCCCTACTTAGAGCTATTGATATTCCTAAAAGGCTCAAGAAACTCTGGTGTGTAGTGCTTAGTCTCAAATTACAGCCTCTTTTTTTTTTATCCATGAAAGTTCCACTGAAGTAAAGAAGAAGGATGAAAAATGGAATGAAAAATTACGCGACACGATCGTATACACTCTAGTTAGCATTCGTAAATGTACTTTAAGAAAATTATCATTCCTAGCTATATGTTAAAAAGTATTTTTGAATATTCTAGATTAACTATTCTAGAACTAGGCTGTACATGTATGAAATTGTTCATATGGCTTATAGGATACGATTTTTGCATTATCTAAGTGCATGTTTTTGTGTTTTCAAGGGTGATCAAGTTAATAGTATGTATGTGAAATTATTTAATAATACTGAGAATTATCCTAGGACACTTATAAATACCCCTTTTGTTATCTTGTAATGTAAGAGTGGAGTTTCAATATAGTGAGCTAAATGTCTATCTCCCTCTTCCATCCTCTTTGGGCGTTATATTCTAACATTATATTTTATAGCAAATTCACCTATAATATTTAAGCAAGAGATCAATTATTTTTAACTAAACAAGAGAGTGATAAGTCTCGTAAATCAGTTGGTTAAAGAACTCTCTTAGCAAGCGGAGGTCTTCAGTTCGACTCGCGACGAGAGTATTCTATTTTTTTTTGAATTTTTGTATTTTCCCTTGGTTAAATTCGTTGCACGAACAGATATATACAGTTAATACATGTTGTATTCGTTGCGTGAACGAATACAGTTGGCACAGACTGTATTCGTTGTGCGTCTGGATACAAGTGATGCAAGCTGGTAACAATTGAACAATAGTTATGAATGATAATTAGGCAAAATTCAATTATGTATGATAATTAAGTTCTAAACTGTAGTATTTTATGAAAATTACTTAATCTATAACCATTTATTGTTTTGTGTTGGGCCAAGAAGCTCACCTTGTATGTAGAAGAATCGATCTAAATAGGAGTCCATCCAACTTCTTAAACTAGAAATAGCCGTTGGAGGTATAATTTATGCATTATATGTGTACAATCAATGTATAATTTATATAGATGACCAGAAAAAGTAAACAATAAATATGGTCGACTATTTGTGTAAAGATCCCTTGTATTTATTCTGGTTGAGCGTACAGTTAGTGTAGTATCCTGTTTGGGCTAGTTGTGGGTTAGTTATAGTTTCGGGTTCCGGGTCTCTATAAATAGTTTGTACGGATGCGGTCATCATTTACTTATAGCATGTTTGGCCAAGCTTTTTTTTGGGCCAAATTTTTTTTTTGTCAAAAGCACTTTTGGCCAAAAATTGAGGTGTTTGACCAAGCTTTTGGAAGGAAAAAAAATGCTTTTGAGGAGAAGCAGAAGTAGTTTTGGAGAAGCAGAAAAAAGTAGTTTCTCTCCAAAAACACTTTTCTGTGAAGCACTTTTGAGAAAAATACACTTAGAAGCAGTTTTCAAAAGCTTGGCCAAACACTAATTACTGCTCAAAAGTATTTTTCAAATTAATTAGCCAAACACAAAGTGCTTCTCACCAAGAACACTTTTTTAAAAAGTAATTTTGAGAAAAACACTTTTCAAACTGGGAAATAATACAGCTCTCTCACAACATTCAAATCGTACCTTCTGATGGCAGACCAGCAGAGAAACACCACATAAAGCCCCATAAAACCTGGAGTCAGGAAACCGACATTCACCTGCTGCCAAATAAAATCATTAATTGAATACTTATAAGTTTACCCAACTCAAAAATAAGGTGTAACACAAGAAATTCAGAACTCGCCTTGGGGTGGAGAGAGATACTGGTCATGAGTTGGAGGAGTACTAATGTCCAGGAGATGAAGAAAATATTAAGAAGGCATGATGGTTGAGGAGTATACCAAATGTACATTAGAATGATCCCAAGGATGCATATAATATATGCAGTGGTTGCAAGTAACATCATTTGGATGTGGCTGCAAGCAAAATGGTTTTATTTCCCATTAGCACGAACCACTTATACACAATTAATATCCAAATGACTGTACCATAAATTAAATAAGCCAATTAATTACCATCTGACAGCATATTTCTCAGAGTGGCAGCAATCATTCAGCCATGTGATAAAACTGATTATACTTATAAGCTGAATTAATAAAAAGACCCTGCAAATGGAGAATCAACAAAATTGTATGAGTTAGGTTTCTGTGAATGATGAAACAAAGCATGTCAGGTGAATAATTGGTCATACCCGGCACCAAAATGCGCAACCTCGCCTGTGCACAAGACACAACATAATTCAGCTATTTATATCTGAAACACAAGACAAGACAAGTGGTAGATGGAATATATATGTACTAACCATAGATTGAAACAATCTCTCCAGGAAGAAGAAAGGGAAGTAGAATTAGAGAAATGTTCATGAAAAGCTTGGCAGACCACCATCCTGAGTGCCATAATTCTCTACGGTCATTCAATTTCGATGTACCAGCAGTAGAGAGGAACATGGCTAAATAGAAAAGCTAAAATATATGATATTAAGGCTTCACTCATGGAAAGATGTAGGAGGGAATTAGATCGAATTCCATGATTTGTTTAGGAGGATACAGAGCACCCCAAGCTTACTCTCAACACTCCTTCTGCACCCAAACAATCTTCACCACCATTACATTCTTTAAATCCTGCAGATAGATATACACATTGTTAGAAATTAATTAATGTGTACCACCGCAAAGATCAAAATAAAAAAAGCCATCTTAGCTTACTCTTTATTTCTTTCAAAATGCTATGGCCATAATCACGAACAGCCCAAGCTAGTAAATTTGCAACCAGAAATAATAAGCCGTAAATATATCTAGCCATCCAAGGATTAGAGCCATGTCGAAATTGGTCTAACCAGTAACCTTGCTTGATCTTGCCATATCTCTCAGTAATGCCCTCCATTTATCCTTTAGAGCAAGACAAAGAAGTTGTAGTCATGGCATAAAAGTACCAATGAAGCAGGGGAAGTTGACTTCTTCCCTCCGGCACCTCAGCTCCATCTGCAAAGCAAATATATATATATATATATAATAGAATATTTGGTATATACTTAAGTTTCGTATAGAATTAAAGCTTTAAGTTAATTTGTCAAGTACAAAGCATCTAGTATAGCTATGTGAATGGAGATGCCTATATATGGTCCTTAAATTCCTCCACGAAATTTTTTTGGTCATGCCAAGGTTTTGGACCACTTTGCAAATTCTGAAAGTATCTTAGATGAAATGGATGTTTTTAATCATATCTTGCCATTTCACAATATTATATTGTGTCAAATGTGTAAAAACTCGTACCACTCAAAAATTATTCCTTCCTGATCACCATTAGGAGAACTGGTTCTTGTTGAAATCAACATCAAGTGGAAGAGATTCCTAGTCGGTATCTCTACCAAAAGAACAAAAACCCGAGTTTCTGACCTGAATTCTTGAATACATTCTATCCAAAAGAGGTAAACAAGATATATAGAAATTCTCGTGACAAGTTTGCTTGTCTAAGAGATTGCTTGTTTGAACAGCAAAGAATCTGCAAAAGAGCTCCTCCATAAAGACCCATTTTGAAGCGTGTCGCGCTCATCTACCAATTTGCATCTATTATACATTTATGTTTTCTTCCTATCTATGCAATTTTCTCGATGCATACAATTATACAAATATCATACACATGTTACGTATTGCTAATCGACAATTAAATTAAAGGGACTGAATCTTTTTTTTTTAATTTCCAACCTCCACACCCCACAAACTTTGCTATTCTTCTTTCCTTAGAGTTGGCCTCAGAGAGGATAACTTCATTACACGGATTTCTGAGGGTTTCGATAAATAAAATAAAACCCTTTAATTTCTTTCTGCCCATAAACTTTTTTGGTTTGATCTAGTCTAATATCACATTAAAAATTATCCCATATATAGTGGAGTAATACAGTATATATTCCTCATGATGTTGGTTTCAATCCTCATAAAAACAAATGAGAATTTGGAAAACTCTTACATGAAATCATCAGCTAATTAGGGAGATTACCATAAACGCAGAAAAGAGTTATTCTTTTCTTCTCATACATGCCTTAATCTGATATAAGCAGATCAATGCCAATGGAAAAGTATCCAGAAATAGATTGTTTGTTGACTAAGCAAGACTTGAAAGAGTTGGATTATTGCCTCATAATGAAGGAAATGATAGTTTCAGTTTGTTGTTTATATTTAAAGATTGAATGAGTAATCGCAATTACATACCCGTAAGAGATAAGCGGATGAAACTAACTATAATCTGATATAGTTGATACCAAAATAAGCACCAAAGACGTCTTGCAGTACTAATGCTGAAGATCAATGTTTATTTGAATGCAGAAGCCAATCTCTCTCGATCTGTAGTTTGCTTTCGAGTAACTTAGTGATAGAGAGATTGAAAACAATGTCCTTACTATTTTCTCCTCTGCAACTTCTTTTTGTCCCTCCTATATATATATATATAAACAACGGCTAGATGGGGTGGTTGGTCTGCGGTAAAGTGTGGGGAAGGGAAGAGCTTGCTTTTAACTTTTTTTCTTTTCCCCCTTTTTTTTTTGTGTTGGATGATGTTTGTTCTGCTTTTTCTCCCGCCGAAGGGAAGCTTTTAAGACTAAGTTTTAGAGAAGAGTATAGTAGAAAAAGGTGGTGAAATGTACTCCATCAGTTATCACTCTTTCATGCGTTCAAGTATATTTAAAGGCGGACCCATGATTTTTATGTGACGGGAATACAATATTCTGCTCAACTAGTAAAGACTTTTAGTGTTCAGGATATCAAGTAATTCAAATTAATTATTTTTAAGGTATATACATATACAAGAATTTTACGAAAGCTTACCGATCCGATCACCCCTTACTTTAACATATAGGCCCGCCTCGGAGTATAATCCTAAATTAGTGGAAGCGGACGCTATACCTATACGCTATTCGTGCCTTTTTTCTCTTCCTATGGCGCATGCGGTTACTATTTGGCATGGCTGTCCTAAATAATTACACTAATGATTATATTGTCCTTAATTATTAACGATAACATTCTCAACTTTAAATTGTCAATATCACAAACTTATTCAAACATGAAATATTTACTTATACTGTCATGACTGAAGAGCTATATGTCTGCTAGCTGCTTTGTGGCTTTTATATTTTTCCCCTCCTATTATTTTTGGTTACCAAATATGGTACTGACAAGTTAGTATCACGATCAAATTTAGAGTTTGTGACCAATAATATTCGGCTTAAAGTATGTATATTTATATGCATATTGCATCATTTTATTTATGTTTCGTAGATTTGGAATGTGTTATGTAATGATTTATGCTAATTAGTGGTATTTTTATGTGTAGGAATCATCCGAAGGCAATTTGGGATGAAGGTGTGTGAATTGAAGCAAAAAGGGGAAGAAACGAGAAAAAACCACAAAGTAGCGCCACAGGTGGTGTGGGGCGCTACCTGTGGTACAGTTCCAGAAGCACAAAATTTTGAACGCCAGGGCTAGCGCCCCACGCTACCCTGGGCGCTGGTGATGGGGACTTGTCTTATTTCATCCGGGACTTGGTTATTTCGACCTCAAGATGCCACTTTGAGAGAGAAACATAAGCACGGAACACTCAGGAGCACGAAATTCATCAATTCTTTCATCCTTCATCTAGTATTCATAACTTTTATGTTTAAAAATAATATTTTGATTATTATTATGAACATGAGTGGCTAAGAACCTCATTATTCTGGGGTTATAGTCGTTCTTGGCTATTGTAAATTGACGGTTGATTGTGTTGCTTGACTTTATCATAGTAATTTGTTTATTCAATCTTGCATTTAATTATTCTATTGCGTAGCTAACAATAGAGTACTATATACGAATTTATAGTTGAACTCGAAAATGGAAACTATAAATTACATATAGGATTGAATAAAGTAAGTTCTTGAATCCGACATTGGAGAATATATTCGTGATTAAGATAGACATATTCTAGCTGCCGTACTTGATTATTTTTGAAGGAAATATACATCCGTTCTTGTCAAGTTTGATTCTATAGACATATAGTCTTAGGTTGGCTTGAATAGATGAGCAAAGCATCCGAAGAGCTACGTGAGCATAATAAACCCTGCTAACCAACAAATTAGATAAGTCAAGTAATTACATCAACCCGAAAAATGCAATAAGAGAGACAATAATCCCATAACCCTGGAATATCCTCATCTTAATGAATTCTTTCTAAATGTTTGTTTACTCTATTTGCGATATTTTTTTCTTGCTTATTTATTAGTTCGTAGTAATTTAGTTACAAAAATCACAATCATCTTCTTAACACTCACTCGAGCATTAAATTCATAAATAGCTTAGATTGGACATTAGCTGATCATACATCCTCGTGGGAACGATACTTTCTTATCACTTTATTACTTGTCGACCACGTATACTTGCATGTGCATTTGGACACAACATATTTTTGATTCCATTACCGGGGATTTAGAAACTAGTTATTTGTCTTAAATAAGCTCTTATTTGTTTTTGTCAAGTGTTAATCTGTTTGACTATTTTTGACTTTATAGGTGTTCACCTTGAATGCTAAGAAGAAGCAACGGTTTGAACAACCTTCCTCCTCCTGATCCTGAACCCGAAAGACTCTTGCACAGGTTAAGAAGGGAGGCAGAAGAAATAGCAAGAATTGTAGAGTTGGGTATCGTAGTCTAACCACAGCTAATTGAGATGGCATAAAATGAAGAAAGACCGGCGATTGAGGCAGCAAGTCCTAGTCTCGCGAACATGACCCAGGCTATTGTGAAGCCTGTATAACTGGGCACTTTGAGCTGAAGCGGTACATGGTGCAATTGATTCAATCTACATGACTATTTGTGGGGTTGTCTAGTGAAGATCCCCAAAGGCATATACAGAAATTCTTGGAGATTACGGATACATACAACTATCTGAACATCTCTAAGGACTATGTCACTGGCTTTTTTCCCTTTTCTCTAATGGGGAAAGTAATGGAATGGTTAAATAAGTCCCGCAAACCTGATCCACACTCGGGATGATCTGATGAGAAAATTCCAAATCAAATTTTTCCCACTAAGAAGACAAAGGCATTGAGTAGCCAGATTCTTGGGTTTCAACAAAGAGATGGTGAGACTCGTCATCAATCTTGGGAAAGATATAAGAAACTCCTTAGAGATTGCCCACATCATTATCAGACTGATGAGGTGTTAGGACATACTTTTGTGGATGGATTAGACGAGAACTCCAAATTACATCTAGACTCAACTTGTGGACGAAGTTGCATGCAAAAGCCATACAGTGAGATTTAGACTCTGATCAACAACTTCACTGCAAATGATTATAGCTAGCAGGGTTAAAGTGACTCAAGAAGGATGATAAAACAAAAAGCCGCAGGTACACTCGATCTGGATGAGATGTCATCCGCGCGGGAAGAGATTGCGAAACTAAACAACCAAATGGCTAAGATAGAAATGGGTCAAGGGCATCAAATGCAGTAGGTTCAGAGGATGGCCATATGCTGTGAAATTTATGGAGAGGGTCACACGAGTGACAAATGTCTGATAAATCCAAAATCTATTTATTATGTGAGCCAGCAAAGTAGAGGTCCAATGGATCAAAATGCATAATATGAGAATACTTATAATCCCAACTGAAGAAACCACCCAAATTTCTCACGGGGTAGAAACCGGGCTAGTCAAGATCAATACAGACCTAAAGGAAACTACAATCAACTCGAAATGCCACAACAACAAGTACAAGATAACACTAATGATATGTTGAAAAAGCTGTTGATTGACAACCAGCAACTTCGAACAAACAATCAGCAATTAAAAGACTACATTTCGAAACATAGAGAGGCAAATTGGCCAGTTAGCTGCACAACAAAATACCCGACCAATAGGAGCCCTTCCAAGTGATACAGATAAGAATCCTCAGGTGAATGTTGTAAACTTTAGGAATGGCAGATAATTAGAAGAAGTACCAAAACGAAAGGAAGAAAAAGTCACTCCTAAGGGCAAACTAGTTCCTCAAACTATGGTGGAAACTGAGAAAGATATTGAAGAAAGTGAAAAGACTCCAATTGCAAGGCCACCACTTCCATTCCCACAAAGATTAAAGAAGAAAAGTGATGACAGGATGTTCAGCAAATTTCTTGATACGCTGAGTCAAATTCAATTGAATATCCTATTGATTGATGTGTTATGTGAAATCCCAAAATATGCTAAGTACATCACAGATATTGTGGCTAACAAAAGGAGGTTGACAGAGTTTGAAACGGTTACACTTACTGAGGAATGCAGTGCTAGAGTACAGAGTAAGCTCCCGCCTAAGTTAAAGGATCCAGGCTGTTTTACAATCCTCCTATCGATTGGAAAACACGAGGTTGCTAAAGCCTTGTTCGATCTGGGAGCAAGCATTAATTTAATGCCACTATCAGTGTTCAAGCAGCCTGATCTTTAAGCTGCCAGGCCTACTACTATAACTCTATAGCTAGCAGATCGGTCATTAGCAGTGCCTGAAGGAATTATTGAAGATTTGTTGGTGCGAATAGGGAAGTTCATTTTTTCTGCAGATTTTATTATTCTTGACTACATGGCTAATGAGGAGGTTCCAATTATTTTGGGGCAACCATTCTCGGCCACTGGAGGGGCACTTATTGATGTGAGAGAGGGCAAGCTAAAGATAAGAGTGCATGATGAAGAAATTACATTTAATATGTACAAGACGCTTAACTTTCCTAAGCATTATGAGGATTTGTGCATGATCTCTATGGTAGAATCAAACTTGTAAGGCCCCATAAAATTTCGCCAAGAAATTTAAGGTTTTATAGTGCCGAGGTGGTCTAATGTGTACGAAGGTGGTAGTCCGCAGTACATGCTTTTTGGGTTGAAGAATCCATCGAGGAGTTGGTGGAAATATTTGCTGAAGGAGGAAATTATGCGGTTAGATTCGCGACCACAGATCTATTCTTCGGGTTGCATACCCATCGCAGAGTTGAAAAGAAAAATAGTTGGATTTTGAAGATATGCGCTCCATTATGCAATCGCATACCTGTTTCGCGGTCCGTACTTCTGTCACAGATTTGGCATGAAGAATTACGGAGGGGGGGATTATGCGGCCACGTAACTGGTCTATGGGCTGCAGACCTAGCCACAGACTGGTCCAGGTTAGCCCAGTTTTTGGCATCACTTTTGCGGTCCATTTTGCGGGTCGCATATCTGTTCTGCGGTCCATTCTGTGACCGCAGAGTTGAGTTCGGGGGGGTCCATTTTTTATTTTTATAACCCGACCCATTTTGATTAAAAACCTTTGGGGCTCATTTTGGAGCATATATCTGACAATTTTAGAGAGAAGTGAGAGTATCTTAGAGAGATAGGGAGGAGATCTAGCCATTCTAATCATCAATCCAATCTTAAAGATTCAAGGGAATTACTCACTAGGCCATCATCTATCGGGGTAAGACCTTGTCCTAAAACTTTCATGCAATTGTTATGGGTTTAAGTAGGTTATAAAGTTGGAGATAGGCCTTGCATGTGACAATAACTAGTAGTATGTGGGATTATTGAACTATTT